AGGGGTTTGGGGAGCTTGGACATCCCTTAGGTGGAGAGTTGGGATACCGGGACATCCATGGAGGGACCAGGAGATACCTCAAGGGGGGGGGATTGGGTGGGGACAGGGACATCTTTCAGGGGAACGTAGAGGGATGGGGACAGGAGAACCCTTCGAGGTGACACGGAGCGGGAGACAGGCTCAGGGGAACTTGGGGGACGCGTTCCAGGAGGACGGTGATCCCGTGGAGAATCCCTCCGGGGGGATTTGGTGGGGACAGGGAGATCTTTCAGGGGAACGCGGAGGGATGGGGACATGGCTCCGAGGGATGGGGGGACCCTTCGAGGTGACATGGAGCAGGACACAGGCTCAGGGAAGCTTGGAGGACACTGGGACACGTTCCAGGAGGACGGTGATCCCGTGGAGAATCCCTCCGGGGGGATTTGGTGGGGACAGGGAGATCTTTCAGGGGAACACAGAGGGATGTGGGGACCCTTTGAGGTGACACGGAGCAGGACACAGGCTCAGGGAAGCTTGGGGGACACTGGGACACGTTCCAGGAGGACGGTGATCCTGTGGAGAATCCCTCCAGGGGGGTTTGGTGGGGACAGGGAGATCTTTCAGGGGAACACGGAGGGATGTGGGGACCCTTTGAGGTGACACGGAGCAGGACACAGGCTCAGGGAAGCTTGGGGGACACTGGGACACGTTCCAGGAGGACGGTGATCCTGTGGAGAATCCCTCCAGGGGGGTTTGGTGGGGACAGGGAGATCTTTCAGGGGAACACGGCTGTGTTCCTATGGAGAATCCCTCGGAAGCGCTTTGGGGGCCACGGCGCCCTCCGAGGGTGGGGACATCGGTGCCCATGAGCTGGCACCTGCCCATGGGATGGAGGGGGGGTTCAGTGCTCCACAGGACCGCGGCTCCGGGGACAAGGTGCCCCGGTGCCCACTGAGCTCCGTCCCCTCAGATGTCGCCTACCTGCGCTCCGTCCTGCCCAGCACCACGGAAGACGCCTTCTTCGATTACTTGGCCACCGTAGACGCCTCCGAGGTGACCATCTCCGCCGTGCCGGAGGGCTCCGTTGTCTTCGCCAGGGTGGGACACGCTCGATGCCTTCCTGGGCTTCTGAGGGGCTTCGGAGCTGCCGGCTCCCGCGTCCCTGGGGAGGACGGGGATGTCACCGCCCAGCTGTCCCACAGGTCCCGTTCCTGCAGGTGAAGGGGCCGCTGCTGGTGGTGCAGCTGCTGGAGACCATGTTGCTGTGCCTGGTCAGCTACGCCAGGTAGGGACGTCCGGCTGCTGTGCCCAACCCTCCGCATCCCACAGCGGTCACGCCATGTGCCCGCGTGCCAACTGCGGTTGAGTGGTGGGTCCTGCGGTTCCCCCTCAGCCCAGTGCCCGGCTCGCCCTGGTGTGACCTGCCTCTTCCTCCCTCAGCCTGGTGGCCACGAACGCCGCTCGCTTCCGACTCCTCGCCGGTCCGGACGTGAAGCTGATGGAGATGGGGCTCCGGCGTGCGCAGGGGCCGGACGGTGCCCTGTCGGCCTCCAAGTACTCCTACATCGGGGGTGGGTGCTGCCCCGTGGGGCCATCCGGTGCTGCAGCCATGCTGTCACCTGTGTCCCTCCACCCCATCACCCGCGTCCCTCCACCACATCATCTGCGTCCCTCCACCCTGGCCACACCGTCACCCATGTCCCTCCATGCCGTCACCTGCGTCCCTCCACCCCGGCCACGCTGTCACCTGTGTCCCTCTACCCTGTCACCCACATCCCTCCACCCCGGCCATGCCATCACCCGTGTCCCTCCACGCCAT